GGGGGGCCTGGAACTTATTCAACACTGGGTGGGAATGCAAAATGGTGCAACCCCTTCAGAAAACAGTTTCAGAGTTTCTTAAAAGCTAAACATATACCTACCACACGATCTAGCCATTCCCCTCTTAGGTATTTATCTAAGGGGAAAGAAAGCTTATGTCATACAAACACTTGACCATGGACATTCATAGCAACTATTTGTAACAGCCCCAAACTGGAAACAACCTAACTGTCCATCATAGGTGAATACTACTCAGTAACAGAAAGCAACAAACATACAATAACAAGAATAAATCTCAAAATTATTATGCTGAGTAAAAGGAGACAGGCAAAAAAAAAGAGTACATATGATTCCCTTTACAGAAAAGTCTCGAAATGCAACTAATCTGTAGTGACAGAAAGCGTAAGGAACCCCTTCCAGTTTTCCAACATTATTTTGTCTCATTTCGAGAGTGAGAGTCAGACACAGTGTCAATGGTTGCCTGAGATCAAGGGTAAGAGGGACAGGGGAGGAATTATAAAGGGGCAGGAGAAAACATTTGGGAGTAAGGAATATGTTCACCATCCTAATTGTGGTGATGGTTTCACATATAGAGACATATGCCAAAACTTATCAAGTTGCACGATTTAAACACATATAGTTTATTGTATATCAATGATACCTCAATAAGACTGTTATTGTGTTAATATATGTCAGTGTTTCTCAAGTTTCTTTGACCATGACTCTTGTTCCCTGCTCGCCTGTTGCCCAAGCTTGCAGAACCATGACACATGCAAGGAGAGAGACCTATGACTGATCCACTGTCATGCTGGCTGTTTGTCCTTCAGTGAGTGACTTACACTTTCAGAGCCTCAGTTTTCTCATCTGTAAAATGGAGCTGTGGTCAGAATTAAAGTAATGAATGCCTGCCACCTAGAAGGTTCTTAAAATCTTTAGTCCACTCACCACCCCAGAAAACAAACCAGCCATATATATTGTTTCCCCCACTGCATTCGCTTTATTTTTAACTAAAGGAAACGAGCATTAGGTGATTTCGAGTCCCAGGGTCCAAGGGGAAAGGCGGTGAAATGCTCAGCTCTACTCTGCGGGCCCATCTGCTCTGCATTAGCCGGCCTTCCTCTGTTTATTATTCCTGGTGTTAAAGCTCCTCCGATTCTTGTGTGAAAAGTTCGGACGCACAATAACCTCTTTATCACATGTTCCAAATCTGGGCCTGCTGGGGAACGTTTACACCTCTGTCTCGTTGCCATTGTTTTCATGCGGATTCGGGTTTCTGAAAAAGGCACTTGGAGCACTTCACTGAAAACATTTATGTGTAAGCTGGATGCACACAAATATCATCAAAGAAAGAAGGAGGAATTGGAAGCCCGCCGCGTGGGCCCTGGGTCATGCCCTGTGGGCTCTGTGTCATGCCCCGAGGCTCAGGCTGGTGGTCAGGAGCCTGGGCTGGTCGGCCCCCTCCCTCAGCCTCTCTTCTGCGGGGGTAGGAATTAAATAATATCAAAGAGATCAACAGAAACATGTCAATGTTAGGGTATAGACTAAAAAGCACATGTAACTCTGCAAAACGAAATATATCATAATAACAATATTTGTTACCCTTCATTGAGTATTATTTATGAGCCATGTTTTGCTATTTTATTTAAATCTCACAGGGTTTAATGCCCTCAACCTGCAGCCAGTAAGGGCCAGGAGTTGGGGACAAATAGGAAAAACTCCAGCTTTCCTGTCTCTAGGTGAGTAATTTCTGAGCCTGGTTTGGCAGGACTTCTTCAAGGGTCTCCAAAGGGCTGAGCCCCAGTTGCCCACAGCAGCAATGCGCTGACTGGTGCACCTTTCATTGGCTTTACGCCCTTTCTTCTCTCTTTTCCCTAACTCCCTCTCTTATGCTCCTCGGGACTGCCTCCCGAATGAAGAACCGGCACCAAAGCCCCTTCCTCAGGATGTGCTCTCAGCGGAGCCCAAACTCGGGTCATCTCTGCCTTCGTGGGCTTCCGTTCTGATGGCAGCGGGAGACCGACAATAAACAAAATAAATGAGCAAAGCCCATAATGTGGATGGAGACAGATGTTATGGCAAAATAGAAAGTGGGGAAGGGGATCAGAGTGGATGTGGGGCTTTTTATACAGGGGTCCAGGAAGGCCTTGAGGGCAAAGTGGCGTGTGAGTCAAGACCTGAAGAAGGCGCATCAGTCAGGTCAAGCTGCGTTATGCTTTGTTAACAAGTAACCCCGGGTCATAGGGGATTAAAGGTTCATTTCCCCCTGAAACAATGTGTCCCTTGTGGGCCAGCAGAGGGCTGTGCTCCACGTGTGTTCATTTAGTAGCCCGCAGAGGAAACATTGCGGGTTGTCATGGAAGACAGAAAACGAATTCTGGAAGGTCTCCCACCATCATGTGCGAGGTCAGCCCTGAACTCTTTGGTTCTACTCATAACTCATGTCCAGAACTAGTCATATGGCTCCACAAACTACAAAAGATGAAAGAAAAAACTGGTGAGGGCAAGAGCGAGAAGAGTTATTACATAATTTATAGGATGAGGGACATGACACTTCGGGAGGCTGGAACAGGACTCGCCAAGGTCGCCTGGCAGGATGTAACTCGCACCTCCAACCCCACTGTGTTCTGCGGGGGAGACAGGAGGGCGCTGGCTGTGCCCATAAATGGCTACAGCCTGAGAGCGGCTTCCAGCCCAGCCGCTGTGGAGACCGGCTGCCTCAGAGGGACAGTAAAAGCGAAACCGCCTCCATTAATCAGGTCACCGGATTAGATATGAATGGCCCAGGCCTTGCCAGCAACTCCGGCCCTGACAGCTGACGGGGGACATCGGGAGCCCCTTAAGCACAGACATGCCTCTGAGAGCTTCCACGAAGCCTATCTGCGAGGCTGGGCGCATAGCTCACACACTCGGCCGCCAAGGCCAAGGTCAGAGGACAGAGGAAGCCTCAGACCCACCCCTGCCCGGAACCAGAGCGGCAGACGAAGGACCTATAGAAACCAGAAAACATGCTGCCCTGGGACGGAAACAACACTCCCCATCCTTGTCTCCATCGTGGGGTGTGTCTTGTGGCCCACTGTGGTACAGGGTCTGGAAAATGACTCAGTTTCCCAAAGGTGAGAAACAAGAGAGGGATGCCCCAGCAGCCAAAAGCAGAGAGTGGCCAACTAAGTGACAGGCTGTTGATAGTTTGAGCAAGAGAAGCACCGAGAGGCAGCCATTGGATTTGACTCCTTGGAGGCGACTAGTGACCTTGAAAAGAGTCACCTTAAAGCCACTGTGGGGAGGACCCCTGATTTAAGTGGCTCAGAAAGGAGGAAGCTGGAAGAGCCTGGAGACAGTGGGTGCAGGCGGCTCTCAAGGGCCTTTGCATACGGAGGAGAAAAACGGGCCAGACGCTGCAAAGGGACGCGGGGACATGGTGGCAATTCGCCGATGCTCACTTGGGTTTGTTTTCTGAGATGGGAGCTGCTTCGGCAAGTGGCAAGTGTCTCGTTCCCACTGACGGCGCGGGCCAGGGGAGAGGGACAGGCTGCTTGAGGAGAGGAGGCACTTTCCAGAGCTCTGTCCCCAAGGAGGCGACGGGGCGGCTCCGAGGAAAAGCAGAGGTGTCGGCTCCGCGAGAGAATCGGCTCAAGCACAGTGACCCGACGGGACGGGTTTGAGGAGGCTGCAGAAGCGACGGTGGGGAGGCAGGTCCCCACTGCGCCCATTGCCTCGGCCACGAAGGAAGCACCGGGTTCAGCAGCGAGGCGGGGATGGGGCGCCGGAGGCCCAGGAGAGAGGTTGTCGCGTGAGGGCTGTGAGGGCCGACGGGCCAGGGGATGTGCTGGGACCGGGAACCGCACCACCGGCCCGCGGGAAGCTGCGGTCATGACTTCAGGGAGATGGAAGGTGGGTGGGACCGAGGCAGGAGTCGGGTCACATGAGCCTGATGGAGAGACAGGCGTGAGCGTCCGCAACTGTGACAATTACGCTGGATGGCGGGGTCTATGCTGGCTAAGGGGAAGCGCGAGGAAATACATGGCAGGCGTGAGGCTGTGAAAGGATCCTAGCGGAGCTGATAGACCTTAGATCTTCGCATCTTCAGCGCTGAAGAACTCTGGGGTTGTGCCAGCAGGAGGCGGTTGGCTGGGAAATGGGAGGCATGAAGACTACGTTATGGAGGGGCACAGCTCCGAGACGTGAGGGGGGCGGGACAGTAGCCTGGAAGCTGCAGCGAGGAGCAGGGTGGACACTGACTCCACCTTCGGGCCCAGTGATCCAAGGAGCATCCACCCACCCACCCACATCCACGAACTCAACCCCAGAGCACTGTAAGGGTTTCACTCAAATCAAGCAAAAGAAGAGTTCAGAGCAGAGCTGGGGGATGCTGGGGATTTTGCTAATGATTCAGTGTGAGTTTGAGAGGGCCCTGTTATTGGAATCACTAAGTCCAGGGTTCGAATCCTGCCTTCCAGGTTATTGACTGTGTCGCTTTTAACGCTCTTCTTGACCTCCATGGTGACCCAGTTTCCTCACCCATGGCTGTTATGAAAGTTAAAGGAAACGGCGCACAAAGTTCCTGGCAGACAGTGACAGCCAGGGTCAATTCTCTTCTGTCCTGTGTTTCTGACGCCTGAAGTTTCAGCTACAGCTTCTGACGATCAAACGCATTTCAATGACCGTCTCATCAGCTGTGCTCAAAGCAACTGCTGTTTCTGTCTCCTGACTGCCCTCTCCCTCTCAGACCCCTCTCCCCCATCCCTCCTCCAGTTAAACAATCCTAACCTATTCCATTCCTCCCAAGGAAGGAACCCCAAGTACATATTATCCTGACATTTTCTGACCTTTGAGTATTTCCTTATTTAAGCTTCGATCTTTGTCACAGCCCAATAAAACCTAGTGTCAATTTTAAGACAGCTATTAAATATGGCTAAAGGCGAATCCTAGTGATTAAAGTGGGGACAACACTGCCTGCCTCCCTAGGAGGGCTTCCGTGGGCCACTGGGTCCTGAGTCCCTCCCTGCGCCTGGAAGAAGATGCTCCAAATGCTTCCACCTCCCCCTCAGCTTCCCTCCCAAAAGAGAGCAGTGTCCTCTGTGGGTGCCCCGAAGCTAATCTAGCACCATTAGTATGTGAGAAAGGGAAGATGGCAAATATTCTTATAAGGGTATTAAGAGAAGGAGGGGGAGAGAGACAGAGAGAGGGAGGAACATCCATGTGAGAGACACATCAATTGGTTGCCTCCTGCACGCACCCTGACATGGGCCAGGGATTGAACCTGCAACTCAGATACGTGCCCTTAACCAGGAATCGAACTTGCAACCCTTCAGTGCTCCAGCCAACTCTTGAACCACTGAGCCACACCGGCCAGGGCCAGAGACATTTATAGTTGTCACAGCAAACAGGTTTGATGTCATGTGTGCACTCGACTGATTGGCAGTGGCTGCAGAGTACCGAGTTGAGAACTGTTATGGTAAATTGTTTGCACGAAGGGCCCCAAATCTCTACCTCGGCGAATTCACACCCTTCTCGGGTGACTTACTGATGCTCCTATCGAGAGATGGTGTGAATTTCCCTGGCCCTGAATGCTGACTTTGGCCCAGGTTCTGACAGGAGCAGAAGCTTCAGGAAGTGCTTGCAGGTTGCCATTTCTGCCCTGGCATCTGCACCTTCACCACGAGCACGTGACTGGCCGGCCTGCTGGAAGATGACAGAGACGGACAGCAGAGCCAAGTTTCTGCAGCTGAGCCCCAAGCCGACAGCCCGCCAGCCCCCAGGTCATGCGAGGGAGCCTCACCAAGGCCAGAATGGTCCAGCCTCCATCACTGACCCACAGGCGCTCGCTCTTGAGCTAAAGAGATGCTTGTTTGAAGCCACTGGGTTCTGGGTGGTTTGTTACGCAGCATGATTGTCGCAATAGATAACTGAGACAAGCGCTGATAGTTAGTCTGCCATGGTGCAGAAAGGGACAGCGGCATCCCCTCCAGCATTCTAGGAGAATAACAGGCCACATGGGCTTCCAACCATTCTCCACATCGTCCCTGGGCCTCCCACACAGAAGCCCCATTTCAGGGATTGCCTGGCATCACCCTCCAGGGGCAGAGTCTGAGTCCCCCTGGGAGATGCTGGGGAAGCCAGGGGTGGAAGTGAGGCAGGGAGTGGCACCTCAACCATCGTCCCACAGTCCAAAGTGGGGAAAGGGAGAAAGAGTATAGGGTGTCCCCCCAAAAATGTATACACACTTTAACAGCTGAGAGTGCAATTGATGCTTCTTCTT